ATTTGGGAATACTCTTATTTTTCTTTTACTTATTCCTAGTTAGATTTTAGTCAGAGAGCATTCTTTGTATAATTTGAAAATTTTAAATTGAGACTTGTTTTATGCCTAGGATATGAACTACTTTAATAAATGTCCCATGTGTATTGGAAAAGTTGCAACTTATGATGTTAATTAATGAAGTGTTCTGTGTCAGTTACCAGAGTTGTTAGATGCTTTTATTTTCTTCATACTTGCTTATTATTGAAGTAGCCATGTTGAAATCTCCAACTATGAATATGAATTTATTTACTTTTCCTTTCTGTTCTGATAACTTTTGCTTAATATAGGTTCAAAGCTGTTATTTTATGCGTATTTCATATAGTGATATCTTCATGAATTGACACCCTTATTATTGTGAATTATCTTTGTGAATTATCTTTTATCATTGAGAATTATTCTTACCTTTGAAATATAAAACTTTTATAGCTACTTTGTATTGCTACAGTTGTGAACATATTTTTCCTATTATTTTACTTTTTGTGTATATGTGTTTGTATTTGTTTTTATACCCAAAGTGGGTCTCCTATAAATGTATGTAATTGAATCTGATTACTTTTGTCTTTTAAATTATAATGTTTTATCTGAATTGAAAGGTACGTTTGGATAGAAAACTTCCATCTTGCTATTTGTATTTTCTTTATGTCATAAATTCTTTCTTCTTTTTTCTTATTTTGTCCTTTGGGTCTGAATATATTTTATGAATCTTTTAAAATAAACTGGTTTCTGTGCTTCCTTGGACTTTTACATTTTATTTCTTCAGGGTAACTGCCTTCAAATAACATTACCACTTCAGTATACTAAAAGGACCTGACAGGAATATATTCATTTCCTTTCTCTTGCCATTCATGACTTTATTTTCACATATTTTACTTCTTCCTATACTAGAAGTGTCATTGGACAATTACAGGATGATTGTTGAAATGAGAAGTCTTTTATATTTACCTATATATTTATCATTTTCAGTACTTTGATCCCCTTGAATAGGTCCAGATTTTCATCCAACATCATTTGCCTTTTGCCTAAAACAAAACTGATCCGATAGTGATTAATTCATTCAGCTTTTATATTTTTTTGTTTTTGAACAATACAATATTTTCACTGTGAAGAGATCCTAAGTATTTTTCTAGGTTTTTAGTACTTTTTATGTTTTGCTCCATTGGCTGGTATTGTTTCCAATTAGAAGTCTGGTATCTTTCTATTTGCCTTTATCTGAAGTATTTTATCTACTGACTAACTTTAAGGTCAGTTCTTTATCAGTAATACTAAGCAACTTGATTATAATATAGCTGAGATAGTTTCCTTCTTATTTCTTGTGCCTAAGAGTCATCGAACTTTTTGGATCTGTGAGCTCATGTTTATCACATTTGCAAATTTCTCAGCTATTATTTCTTTAAGTACTTTTTCTTCCCTCTTGTAACTTAAATTACATGCTTATTAAAGTACTTCCATTTTTCCCAAGCTCAATGACTTTTTAAAAAATTTTTTGTTCTTCATTTTAGTTTCCATTACTGTATTTAAGTTCTTTACTCCATTTTGGCAGACCAGAGAGTCTTCTCTCAATTCCATCATTTCACATTAATCATTGTGCTTTTTGTCCCTAGAAGACCGATTTGAATATGTTGAATTTGTTTTTTCATTTCTTCATTTGTCCATGCTACCATCTGTTTTCTTGGACATATGATATATGTGTATAACAGCTGGGTGTTTGGGTTGAGATTTTTTGGGCCTTGTTTACTGACCTTTCATTTGTGCCATTTCTTGTTATTTGTGTATGTATGTGTGTGCGTTTTTGTGGGTTTTGTTTTGTTTTTGTCAGTTGTAGGGCTTGAACTCTGGGCCTGCAAGCTGTCTCTCAGCTCTTCAGTTCAAGGCAAGCACTCTACCACTTGAGCCACAGAGCCACTTCCGGTTTTCTCGTGGTTTATTGGACATAAGAGTCTCACAGCCTTTCGTGCCCAGGCTGGCTTTGAACCATGATCCTCAGATCTCAGCCTCCTGGGTAGCTAGGATTACAGGCATGAGCCACCAGTATCCAGCTCACTTGTTCTGTTTTTAGCTGACTGAATTTTCTCATTATTGGGTTCATCTTTGGATATCTGGAAATGTTTATTTGAATTTCAGACGCTATGAGATTTACATTGCTAACTAATTTTATTTTTAGTCTGTGAAAGTGCTAAATAAAATAAAAATTAATAAAAATGATTTTAATGTTAGCCCTCAAAACTACTCTTTTAAATATTAAATTTTTAAAATTTTACAAATAGATTTGTTCTTTGGAAATTTGGTTTTACTCTTTCTTAGTGTAGACCAACAGTAACCTTTATAAAGGGCTAACATATCTTCTACTTAAGCATTACCTTTCTGAGTACTCAGCTCAATGCTCTACAGATTACAAGAATTCTTCACCCAAGATATTGAGAAGGTAAATTAGACCCAGCCCTGTGTGAACCCTAGGAATATTTTGCCTGCTCCAGTTGGTCTTTCCTTAGTCTTAAGTATTTTCCACACATGCATACACCAATCAGTATTGACATCTTGAGGTTGGTAGTTACCACAGTATTACAAAGTTTATCCTGATTTGTACAGACTCAGGTCCAGACAGGGACATCCGTAAAAAAACCTAAAATAAAAGTCATTATCTTAGCAACAGTTAATAAGAAAACTTGTTGAAAACTAAAGGGATAATGATACATATTAATTCAGTGACAAACTATTGGGAGGAAAACTTTTTAAAAAACTGAAAATCTGCCAAGCCAATAAATTTACTAATACACTGGAGGAAGTTAGAAAACATAATGTAAATTACTGTCAAGTGACATAATAACTCATAACAAGCACTGTGCACGCAATAGTAAAAATTGATAGAGTATGTACAAATTCAAATTATATTTCAATGACAATTTGGAAAGTGACAGAAGTACATTTTATCTCTTTGCTGTTCTATTTCATGTGTACTTATTAATTTTACACTGAGCCTTCTTTATCTCCTGCCTTTATATTATCTTCTAATAACTTCTTTTATATTACTTTCTAATAACTTTAGTATTTTTATCTTTTGTCTCAACAGTCTCTATGATTATTACTTTGATTTTTTCATCACTGTAGTCTACTCCTTTGTGCTTTTAGAAATTATTTTTTGCCTGGACTAGCCTCAAACTATGATCCTCCTGATCTCTACCACACAAGTAACTAAGATTACAGATGTGAGCTACCACATCCAGCTTAGGACTTAAGTTCTTTCCCATGCATGATTTCTGCAATCTAATAACTGGGACAACAGGGTAGAGCTTTGAAAGGTAAGAATACCAGATGAACTGGCACCAAAATTCACTGACACAGACATATCATCACCTACAATTGTCCACATTTTATGAATTTCACAAGTCCCAGACTTTGGGACCTCATCCCAAGAACTGAAGTGTCTGACTGCAGCTCAAAGACTCCCAAGTTTATCAATACGCAGTTAAAGGTAAATCTAGCAACTAAAATTTTCTTGACTAAAACTGCCTAGCAATTCTCAACAAGCTCAAGCACTAATGTGAAAAACATCCAAACAGAATTATGGGGAAGCACCAAGAGCTAATAGCTCATGCCTATAATCCTAGCTACTCAGGAGGCTGAAATCTGAGGATGAAGGTTCAAAGCCAGCTGGAACAGTAAAGTCCATGAGACTTTTATCTCCAATTAACTTCTCAGAAAAAGCCAGAAGTGGTGGTGTGGCTCAAGTGGTAGAACAGTAGCCATGAGCCAAAAGAGGCTAAGGACAATGCTTAGGCCTTGAGTTTGAGCCCCAGGACTAGCAAGAGAGAGGAGAGAGAGAAAGAGAGAGAATATTATGGGGAAGCCTTAGTAACATAAACAGCCCATTGCAACTTCAAACTTACCAGTTACTAGAAAAAGTAATGATGAATATTGTTTGTCCTGATGGGAAATAATGTGTTCTAATAGTCTGAATTATTACGGTTCATATCATCACACATTAAAAGCATATACACCTTTTGTTAAACATATATTTCTTAGAGTATTTTTCCAAAGATTTGTGGGAAATAGTGACTTCATTAAAAAAGTATTTGAGCCTTAAAATCTGGTCTTATTTGTTCCATAAAAAAATAATTAAGGCTTTTTATGTAATTGACAATTATAAGACATTAGGTTTTCAGGAATGCCTGACTTTTCAAACTTTTCTTCCACTGTCCCTTCTAAACATTGTGTATGCAACATTTATGTTATAAATCCCTCTATTCATGAGACTTTTGTTTAGTAACCCCTGAATCCTATGGGACTAATTGTCACCACCACACAATATTTTAATCCACAGTCTTTATAGGTTAAGCTTGTTTTCGATTAGTTTGTTGGAGCTGGATCTAATCTTAATTTCTTTTGAATGTGACAGAGGAGAGAAATAAATTTGGGGGAGTATGTGGCCTTCAACAAACAATTGGGTTTCTGAACTTAGCTTTGCCATTTTTGTGAGAAGGCACCTAGTTTTCGGTGGCATCTTGGTAGTCTATTGGTCTGGGGTTTCTTTATGCTCATCGACATTTTGGGTTTTGCATCAGAACAAAGGATCCACACGTTCTGCGTTGCCTTTAGAACAAAGGCCTCGTTTCATAGGGACACTGGGGTGGGCCTGGGGTGACATGAGTAGAGGGAACCTGACCCACCGCCCAGAGGGTTGAGATGTGAACCAGGACTAAACGTCTGATAATCCAGGAACAGCTGCAAAGACACAAACTCAAAAAAAAAAAAAAAAAATCACTCCAAAGCCGAATTACCCGTCAGTTACCGCGGCCTCCAGAGCTGCCGTTGCTCAAAGATGAGTTCACAAGGCAACTCAGGTTTGTGCCTCCGGGGCCCGGTCGCTATGGTAACGGCAAGACGCAACTGCGCTTGCGCGTCCTCCCGACTAAGCACGGCAGCCCGGACCTGTCGAAGCGCTTGTAGACGGCAGCGATTTGCGGCAGTAGCGTGACTTACGGCCGCCCCCTTTGTGCTGCCCGGTACTGGCAGTCTGGCGGGATGACCCAGTCGGTAGTGGTCCAAGGTGAGCTTCGTCCCCAGGGCGCAGGGACACGATCGCGGCGCACCTTTGCTCTCTGTTTCCTATCTAATGTCAGGTTCTCGCTCTCTCTTCCCTGGTCGCAGTCGGCCAGTGCGGAAACCAGATCGGCTGCTGCTTCTGGGACCTGGCGCTGAGGGAGCACGCCTCGGTCAACCAGGTAGGCCGCCCGATGGTGGCCCGGCGAGCCCGAGCCTCCACCTGAGCCTTGGTCTGGCCGCTATACACTGTGTGGGATCTGCTCAGTAGAAAACGTCAGAGCCAGTGGGCACCGGTGATCCACGCCCGTGATTCTAGCCCTCGAGAGGCTGAGATCTTGGGATCATGGTTCGAAGTCAGCTCGGGCAGAGAAGTCCATGAGACTCTGATCTCCAGTTGACTATCAAAACAGCCAGAAATGGAACTGTGGCTCAGGTGTACAGCGTTTGTCTTGACCCCAAAAAAAAAAAAAAAAAGCCCAGGAACAACCTTAAGCCCCTGAGTTCAAGTTCCGGGACTGACACCAAAAGAGGAGAGAAAAGAAAAACGTAACTGATTTTTAACGTATGTTGCCCAAACACACACTGGACTGAAAGAACATTGACCAGAGACCTGAGTCTTAACAATTTTACTAATTCTCAGTAGTTCTCAGTAGTGTTCTTGTGAAAACCACAAAGGAGGAGTGTGTGAGAATACTCTTACAAAGTACCTGGCGAGTATGATCTTGTGTTCCTTATAGTCATTTTTAAAAAAAGGTCACTAGAATCCAGAGTAAACTAATTACACTTGTTTTACAATCCTTGAAATTTTCATCACCCTTCTGAACTTTAAGGCTTACGGTGTTTACTTTATTCTGAAGAGAAATTTCAAGACTCATTCCAAGCAATGTTCTGTTAACTTGCTTTTCGTTATAGACACATTAGCTATTTCAGTATTGTGCAATTGTTAAAAATGAAAAAAAAGAAAACTTTGGAAAATAAAATTTACATGATATAAATATTTTTCCTTCTTTTTAGAAAGGCATTTATGATGAGGCCATAAGCAGCTTCTTTAGGAATGTAGATACCAGGTAAGATGAGATTAAAGCCTATCAGAGAATACAATCATCCTTTCTCTTGTCCTCAGATTGGAGAGAATTCTTCAAAGGAAGGTAACAGTTGGTAGCTATGAAGATGTCTAGCCCTTTTGTTGTTCTCATTAAAAATATTTTGCATTATATCTTGTAGCAGAACAAGTTTTGGGTTTTTTTTTTCCCCAGATTTTATTAAAAGAAGTGTGACTTCTTTTACCTGGATAAAGTTTTACTAAAGGAAAGCTGAACTTTCCCTGAGATATCATGTGATTGCATCTAGTAATGGCTAGCTTTTATGACATTTCTCTGATCACACTACTTGCTGTGAGTATAGAATGTGCTCAAAAGGAGAAAACGGTAACTGCTTACAATAAAGATTACTTTGTATGCCTGTGTCCATACTAAGGCATGAACTGAAGGCCTAGGCACTATCTATAGCCTAGCCACTATCCTAGGCACTATTTCTCAAGGCTGGCATTCTACCAGTTCAGCCACAGCTTTACTGTTTCAGTATATATGTATCATAAGTCTTTTACCTCAAAGAGTAAATTGACATTCAGGGTATGCCCATGACTCTTAATGTGAAATGGTATACATTTCAAAATACTTTGTAAAAACTAATTATATAATCTTGCACTTAAAAATTGTACTGAAAAGTATAGGGACAAATCTAATTTGGTAGAAGTTCTAGTTAGAATTACTTGGCTGACTTGGCTGGGTGTTTGAGCTGTTATCCTCTGATTCATTTTCACTTGTTGATGAATTCCAGACCCTAATGCTCAGGCTTGCAAACTCATAAACCTGCTTTTCTTTTTTCCCTTTAAGAATGAATTAACGGGGGCTGGGAAGTTGGCTCAGTGGTAGAGCGCTTGCCTTGCATTCCTGAGGCCCTGGGTTCGATTCCTCAGCACCACATAAGCAAAAAGAAAAAAGCCGAAAGTGGCACTGTGGCTCAAGTGATAGAGCGCTAGCCTTGAGCTGAAGAGCTGAGGGACAGCACTCAGGCCCAGAGTTCAGGCCCCACGACTAGACCCCCCCCAAAAAAAAACAAAACAAAAAAAGAATGAATTAACGGGCTGGGAAGGTGGCTCAGTGATAGAGTGCTTGCCTTGCATGCATGAGGCCCTGGATTCGATTCCTCAGTACCACATAAGCAGAAAAAGCTGGAAATCGCCCTGTGGCTCAAGTGGTAGAACTCTAGCCTCGAGCTGAGGGACAGCGCCCAGGCCCAGAGTTCAGGCCCCACAACCAGCAAAAAAAAAAGAATGAGTTAACTTCAGCCAGGCATTGGTGGCTCAGATCTGTAATCCTAGCTACTTCAAAAGCTGAGATCTGAAATTGTATACAAAGCTGGCCAGGCAAGAAAATTTGAGACCTCTCCAATTGAAAAGCTAGAAGTGGAGCTGTGGCTCACAGTGGTAGAGCAGTGGCCTTGAGCTCAAAAGCTCAGGGATGACAGCATCCAGGCCCTGAGTTCAAGCCCCAGGACCAGCACAATTGACAAAAGAATGTGTCAGTTTCTCTTCAGATTCCAACTGGTCAGATTCAAAGATAGGGGAGATTGAAAACTAGAAAGGCAGTGTAGTACTGTAGGAACTATAACTCAGACCACATGTCCATACATTATAAGTACATTTTTTTTGGTAGGAAAATTTCCAAAGATAATCAAAAGGTTGCTTAGTGACTGGAATCAGAATAAAAGACGTTAGAAATATGTGTCATTTAATATATAGCATAAAGGAAATTTATCTATAGCAGGGATTAACAAATCTCCCACTAAGGACCAGATAGTAAATATATTAAGTTTTACAACTATAAAGGTCCCAAGTTATATCTACTAACCTGCTTTTGTAGCCTGTATACCATCATGGATAGTACATAAATGAATGAGCATGGCTGTATTTGAATAAACCAGCATAACAGCAGCTAGTTGTATTTGGCCTGAAGACTGAGGTTTATTGACCCATGGCCTATAGCATCTGATTTAGCTAAGCTTCCCAACTAATGTTAGCTTACCTTTTGAGATATCTTTGAGAACCCATGCATTGTGTTTGGCATCAGTTTCAGTAGTTAATATATTTTGAAGATAAAATTCAGGATAAGATTTCAAGGTAAGAACAGCCCCAGACACTCAATGGTATTTAACTGGTATATCCATTGATGTATGTTTATAACCTCATTAAAGGTAATTTAAGTAATAATGGTGTCTGTTTACTCAGAAATCTGGGAATCAGATGGTTAGATATTAGCACAGTTTTTCAGATACCTACATGTACTATATGTAATTTACCTATCCTTAGTACATTGCCTTTGTCTCATTTATTACTTCAGGACAGTCTCCAGGAATCATATCCATATCATTTTTAAGGCCGGGGAAAAAGAAGAAGGTTAACACTAATTTTGCATCTGGTCCTTTTTATCAGAAAAGCCTTTCTCCCCTTATCATTGGCTAAAGTCAGAATGCACGGTCAGCCTAACAACAAATCAGCTTGTTAAGACAGAGACAAGGAAGAAGTTAGGAATGACCTATCACATCTAACCTGTAACCACCTTTAATATGTAAATGTAAGTTAACATGTATACACTGAATATTAGAGATTTATAATAGATCTTAATGACCTTTTCTTACTTTTTATCTTTCAGAGTAGTTGGTGATGGTGGCAGTATATCCAGGGGAAAAATACGTTCTTTAAAAGCACGCGTAAGATATATATGTTTGGATTCTTACATTGGAAAAAGCTAGCATCCCACTTCAACATTTAGAGAAAAAGAGAACATCATTTCATAGACTACTCCTGATTTGAGCCTTTTTTCACCACCATATCTGGATGGGAGGTGAAGGAATTAGTTTTAGGAAATAATATATCAGTGTAGATTTTTCTCCTTAGTAGTTCTTAGTATTTTATGGGCTATGATCACTGAAGAGTCTGGGCTTCACAAGATTAGTTGCTGCTTGGTTTGCTCAACAAGCCAAAACTCAGAATTATGCAAATCCTATATTATGATTATGAAAAAGCCAGAAGCTGTTACCTTGTGGGTCTAGAAGAAAATACAAAGAACAGTTGTGACTCCAGACCTCACATACCTAAATGAGAAATGCAGAATACACTCTCAAAATATAATACTTGGAAAGGAAAAATAAACCAAGAACTTGATGTGATTAAGGAAGAATTGGAAAGATTGTATGCTATGTTAAGGTTTTAAAATGGACTAAATGATTCTGTCAAAAGAGGAGCGGTAAACCCTTGTAAGCTAGTCAGGGGGTAACATGTACTTTTTGTTTTCCATACAACATCTCTATTTTTTTCTTTTTTATATATGTAAATATATATATAATTTATTTATTATTTTATGTATTATTTATTTTGGGCCAGTCATGGAGCTTGAACTCGGGCCCTGTCCCTGAGCTCTTTTTTTTTTTAATAAGTTTTTTATTGTGAAAATATTGTACAGAGGGGTTACAATTACATGAGCAAGGTAATGAGTACATTTCTTATCAAGCATTGTTGCCTCCTCCTTTGTTTCCCCTTGCCATCCCTGCCCTCCCATCTTCCTCCCCTCCCCCACCAAAGTTGTAAAGTTTGTTTTTCGACATAGCATTTTGTACATCTCATTGTTGCAATGGGTCAACTTGTATCCCTATTTAAACAATTTGTTTTTTCCTTCCCCTCCCCAAATTATACCAACATCAAATACAGTGAAAACAGAGGTTATACCAGAGGGGAAGGACATACAAAGCAACAAAAACATCACGTGGTACCTTATAAATATGTTAGAAACAATAGCGAGAAAGAAAAAACCACTTGTGTCCTTATCTTGGGGTTCATTTCGCTTAACATCTGACCTTTTCTGCTTGTCTCAGACATATACTAGTTATTGCAAATAAGGGAAACCATGAGATCTATGTTTCTTTAGGCCTGGCTTACTTCACTTAATATAATTTTTTCCAAGTCTTCCCATTTCCTAACAAATGGGGCAATGCCATTCTTTCTGATGGAGGCATAGAATTCCATAGTATATGAGCTCTTTTGCTCAAGGCTAGCACTCTACCACTTTGAGCCACAGCACCACTTTCTGTTTTCTGGTAGTTAATTGGAAATAAGATTCTCACAAACTTTCCTGCCTGAACTGGCTTTGAACCACAATCCTCAGATCTGTCTCCTGAGTAGCTAGAATTATAGGCATGAGACACCAGCACCCAGCCTCATTTATAATCTTACACAACCTGTAGTAATCCATCTAGTTAAGTCCTTCTTATGGTTATATGTTAAAGACAGCTTTTAGGTAAATACTATATGCTCTTAGAAATATTCTGTGCAATCACTAAAGTTGCCAGTTTATAACTATATAGGCATATGTATGTAAACATAAAATGTATGTAAATGTTTACATATATAGCATATACATGTATATGTTTATATAAAGTAGCAGTATGTAAGAGACACAATTTGTTAAACATACATTTTTGTGACTTCTGTAATTATATAGTAAAGTAGCATAGCTAATTATACAAATTAATTCAACAGCATTTATATGTGTATAAATTGTAACTTTTACACAGTATTCTGAAATATCAAAATTTGTTTTCCTTTCAACTGAGCAGTCAGACATAGAGTTTAATGATTAAGAGTCTGCTACCAGGCTATTTGGATTTGAGTTCCCATTTGCCAACTGTGTTATCACAGCTGTTCAGGTCACTTTTGAGGCTTCAGGTTCCTCAGCTATAATATGAGGAGAATAACACCGATATTTAGAACATTAGCTTACAGTAATTGCCTCATGTTTTGTGGTCAGAACTAAAGCCCATAAAACAGGCACATTCAGTCTTAATTCACAGATAATTTACAGTATAGGCTGAGGTTCTTTCTTCTTTATAATTTTTTATTTTTTCAGCTTTTTGTTTTTGTACTGATGAAAAGGGCTTGAACCCAAGGCCTGGGTATTGTCCCTGAGCTTTTTTATTCAAGACATAGTTCTACTTCCAGCTATTTGCTGGTTAATGGAGATAAGAATCTCAGGGTCTTTTCTCCCCAAGCTGACTTTGAATCACAATCCTTAGATCTCAGCCTCCTGAGTACTTGCAGTTACAGGTGTGAGCCACCAGTCCCCAACCATTTTAGTTTAGTATATTATGTAATCTTATTATATAACACAGTCTCTATAGTTAATTTTATGTTCTCACTTTCTTCTTGGTAATACAAATTACCTCCCATGTCAAAGAAGTTGTGGTAACGAATTAGGTTATGAGTTACTTGGAACAAAGGAACCTATTGTCATCCTTGTCACCTAACTAGTTCCTTGATTTTGCATATAATAGTAAGTTGACTTTAAATGGACAATTTTTGGCTATATTCATGAAGAAAACAGCATGATGTTTGTAGTAAGCAAATGCATTAGTATAGTCTACATTTATTTTATTTTATTTTTGGGGTCTGGTCATGGGGCCTGAACTCTGGGCCTGGGCGCTGTCCCTCAGCTCTTCAGCTCAAGGCTAGCACTATACCACTTGAGCCACAGCACCACTTCCGGCTTTTTTCTTTTTGCTTATGTGGTGCTGAGGAATCAAACTCAGGGCCTCATGTATGCAAGACAAGCGCTATACCACTGAGCCACCTTCCCAGCCCCAGTCTACATTTATTGAGAAGCTTATCTAGATTTCTAAGACCTTGTTAGAGATTCAGTTAAGGGGATTATTGAGTTCTTATTCCCCCACATGTATAGTTACATACACTCATACATACATACATACACACACACACACACACACACACAGAGTAGGATGCAAGAGTTTAGAACCCATTTTTCAATTGGATTTCACCTTTTGATTGGAATAGAATAGAATCTATATAAATATTTTGATGAATTAAAGTATAAAAAGAACAGTACACTTTACAGTTCATAAATTCTTTCAAGATAGCATATGCCTGTAATCTAATGCTCAGGAAGCTGTGCCAAGAAGATTGAATTTGAGGTCAGTTTAGGCTATTTGCAAGATCCTATATCAAAAGAAAAAAAAAAGGAAACAATAGTTTTCATTTACAAAGTAAGCAATTTTAAAATACATGCATCAATTTTGTTTCCCTTTTCAGGCTGTCTTGATTGACATGGAAGAGGGGGTCGTGAATGAAATTCTCCAGGGACCGTTGAGAGATGTATTTGATAGCAAGCAGCTTATTACTGATATTTCTGGCTCAGGAAATAATTGGTGAGAATTTCCTGAACATAACTATTGAATGTCATTGAAAAAAATTGAAGCTCTTTTCTTATTCTGATAGGTCCTACTAACACAAAAGCAAGATGTGCCACAGCTGAACTGCCTGTTTTTCTTAATAAGTGATGGCATTTCACGGAGCTTGGAAGTAACTGTGTTTATTCTCACTCCTAGTTCCTTGTAATGGGTTTAAGAAAGAGATGGATAGTGAAATTTTTATTTTCTAAGTTCTTTGAAAATTGATTCTTATAGAACAGTAAATGGTATTGTCACTACTTGAACTGATTTTTCATATTGTTTAGCTCTCAACTAGGATTCAAATTCAAATAGAATTGACAGGTCTGAAATGAAACCAGTATCCTGTCTCTCAAACTAAGCCTGAGGCCATTTTGGCTCTTCCATAGTCTCTTCTCATTAATAATCACCCACAGGGATCATTTAAGAATTAACTGCAAAACAGTTTTTGCAGCTTCATCTTGTAATATTTGCAAATTTGAGCAGTCCCAAAAACTTGCACAGAATCTCATGAATATCAGTTGTGTAATATTTGCCATTTCATCTAGTAAGATGGTACCATACTTTCCTATTTGAAATAAGACTACATTTTTTTATTTCTTTGTCTTGATAAATGACCTTATCCTTTCACTGCAGTTCAGAGTTTACATGGAAACAAAGAATAAACTATGTAACTGAAAAAAATAGTTAAAACCCACTACTAATGAATTTTGTATCAACACAGTTGAAGATTATCTAGTACCTGTAGGATATCTGATTGAATGACATGAAACAAGTGTAGATTTTACTTGGCACAAGTACAAACAGTACCTGTTGAACTTTTTTCTATAATCATTAGGGGCATAAATAACTCAATAAGTAAAAAGTATTATTTTTTAATCTATGTTCTTTTTTTCAGGGCTGTTGGTCACAAAGTGTTTGGTAATCTTTACCAAGAACAGATTCTAGAGAAACTCAGAAAGTCAGCCGAGCACTGTGATTGCTTGCAATGTTTCTTTATAATACACTCCATGGGAGGAGGTAAGCTCATTGACTCATTTTCCAATGGCAGTGTTAAAATGCAAGTAGGAACTCATGCTTCATACCTATGTTTCCAGACCTCCTTACAGTCTGTCTATTGTTTAATGTTTGTATGTGCTAACTTTTGTCAAGAGAACTATATTGAAAATTTTGTTTCTTATTGCTTTATTTTCTTTTATGAAATTTTCAGCCCTATTTTCATATTTGCAACCTTTTGAAGAATGCTTACTATCTCCTCAGAGCTTGCTTATTCTGTCCCTACAGATGCACATTGGCCTGTTCTTAGGATGCTTGCCAAGAGTCTCAATACCTTTCTTTAACCATCTTCCAGCCTTTCTATCTCCAAAGAGCAGAAAAGAGTAAAAGAAATTCCTCCTTTAAGTCATTTCTTACATGGTAATTAATTGATCTGAGTATAAATGTATGAAATGTACTATTTTCTTTCCCCAGAGAAGCTGTAACTCAGAACTGAAGTATATTCTCTCTTGTTCTGTGAGATAAAAGGAATAAAATTTGCTAATTTTAAGATAGGTATCACAGGACTTAAAGGAATTGCCACACTTATTTTCTCTAAGCTGAATTTTAAGATTTTATATTTTAGCCAAACATGGTAGTTCACACCTGTAATCCCAGTTACCAAGGAGGCAGAATTTGGGAGATTGTGATTTGAGAACAACCCAGGCAAAAAGATAACAGGCCCCTAACTCAAGCATGGTTGTGCATGCCTGCTGGCTATGCAGTAAGCATAGATAGAATTCAGCCCAGAGCTGGCCTGAGCAAAAAGTGTAGTCTCTTATCTGAAAATAACAAAGCAAAAATGACTTGAGGTGCCATTCAAAAAACCTCAGTTTAAACCTCAGTACCACCCAAAAAAAAAAGAACCTTGTTCAACAGGTTGTTTGATCAGTTTTAAGAAATACCTTTTTTACTCAGTCATAACATTTTAAAATTAGTTATAATTACTGTGTAAAACATAATCTATTAATTAATGAAGCAAATTGTCATCTTACTAGTATAATTAGCCTGCAAGTTTTGAGAAGGCAATTTCATATACAATTGTTTATAAAAGCCCTTCATTTTCTAGTAACTCATAAAAATACACTTTATTTGTAAATTACTAAAAATGGGGAAGTAAGTAAAATTGTCCTATCTAGTCTATCTCGTTACAGACGACCAGGTTACAGGCTTGCTTTATTTTTTATTTTATTTTTGCTATTGTTCTTGCCAGTAGAGGAGTTTGAACTCAGGGCCTCATGTCCACACTTGGCTTTCTTCATGGCTCGTGCTCTACTATTTCAGTCATACTTCCAGTCGATCTTCGCTGGTTATTCTGGAGATGGAGTTTTTGAGATTTCTGCTCGGACTATCTTAAAACCTGGTCCTCCAAGTTAAGCTTCCTGGGTAACTAGTATTAAAGGCATGAGCCACTAACACCCAGCCTCTTGTTTATTCACAACATATATCCTTCCAGATATTTGCTATGTCTGTGAAAGTATGTGAGAAAGTAAATGAGGTCTTATATATTCTATAATTGTTTGGCTTTGTGTCTTTTTCAAGTGTTTCCACCTCAGCTCATTGACTTGAATTATATGTATTGTATCTATTGCAATTCCTGTTTAGTTATTACTAATTGCTGTCAGAGAGTATCTAGTACATATATATTTCACTTGTGCCACTATACTATAGGCAATATTCCTAGAAAGGAAGTTGGGATCAAAGAATATGCATGTTTTAAATAGTGGTTGATGTTATTAATATGTCTTCCTATGGTATTGCATTAATTCATAATTCATAGTATTAGTAACAGTACATACTCTTATCATCAGGAATTACCTGAATAGTCTCCCTCATTTTCATTATTTAGCTCCTCTTCCCATCATTACCACTGCCAATTCTAGGGATTAAATACAGGGCCTGGTGATTACTAGGTAAGCTCTACCACTTGAGCCTTGCCCAGCTCACCATCTTAGCCTTTTAATATTTATCTACATGAATTAGAGCATTGGCTTTAAATTTTTAAGCAAAATAACAAGGAATACATTTTATAGTACAATGCAGCATGCACTCATGCAGGAGTATACCCACACTGAAACTAGTGTAACACATTGATACTTTCTACTGTCTCATTTAAGAAAACACCAATCTGGTATGTTGGTAGCACACACACTTTTAGGATTCTAGTTAAGTCCTTATAGATTTCTGAATTTGCATAAACATAACTGAATCAGAAAGTTATCTTTAATGAGATCCCTAGTTTCTACTTTTAACTAAGAAACATTTCATATTTGAAAATTTTATAAATTCAAAGTAGACTTGCTAAATTTTAAACAATTTTAACTTTACATTAGTAATGACGTGTTTCATTTTATCATGAGGATTATTCGCAGAGTGCACAAAAGCTGTTCAAGATAGTGTTTTTTAAGTCAAATGAAAATTACTAAGACTGCATACTGTCTTAGTAGGATTTTTCACTATTGAGTCAGTTCTTTCAGCATCTAATGAACTAAATTTGGAAAAGAGTGAAATATAGAAAGTCATTCCAGAGAAGTCAGGACTTTCAGCCTGACTCTCCATGCCTTTCTCCTTTTTCTATCTAAAATTCCACTAATGTAAGTCACAGGAGTAAGTTGAAAATTATGCCTGCAAATAAAACATAAACTTTTAAGTTCTTCACAATTACATTCTGAATCATTTATCCTTCTTAATTGCTTTGTTTTTGAAATTTTATTCCTCAGGAACAGGATCAGGACTTGGCACATTTCTTTTAATGATGCTGAAAGATGAATTCCCAGAAGTATACAGATTTGTGACTTCCATTTATCCTTCAAGCGAGGATGATGTCATAACCTCACCATACAATAGCATGTTGGCAATGAAGGAACTGAATGAGCATGCAGACTGTGTGTTGCCCATTGACAATCAAGTAAGAAATGACCTTAGGGCTCAGGGATAAGTTTTAGATGCAATTAATTTTGTGTTGTGCATCTGTGTTTTTGTGACCTCTGTTCAATTTTTAGTCTTCATCTAAGAAAAAATAAGTTTAAATTGTTTTTCTTTCTCTTCTGTCCTTCCTAGGAAAATATCTCTAAGTACACTCTTCTTAAAAGATTCTTTCCCAATATTTTTCTCTCAAAAGTCTTTATTTGACATCATTAGCAAAATTGACCTCATGGTGAGTTCTGGAAAGCTGGGTACAATTGTGAAGCCAAAGAGTCTGATTACTTCAAATGCTGAGGCTTTAAAAAACAGACATAAGAAGCCCTTTGATGCAATGAACAACATTGTGGCAAATTTGCTACTCAACCTAACAAGGTAATTCTGCAGATGAAAAAATCACTTGGCTTTTGATGGTGTTTTAAATTTTTGTATAGTAGCATTATTTCTTCTTCTTAGTACTGGGTATTGAACCCAGAGTAGGCTAGATAAACTCTGAACTACCTTGTTAAACTGTAATGTAACCCGGTAGCACTTTTTATTCTGAGTTGTAGGAGCTTCTTTATACATTATTTTATCTCATATTTTTATCTGTTAGAGTAATAGATTAGAATTTTAATGCTTGTGACTACAAAGCAGCATTTTTCTAAGTATATTCCATGAAATTTATCAGTGTACAATGATAAAAAAAAAATGGTTTAGATGATTAACACTGGCTTTTCTGTAGAATATCTTTTTTTTTTTTCTGTCGGTTGTGGGATTTGAACTCTGGAGCTGAGCGCTGTCCCTGAACTCCTCAGCTCAAGGTGAGCGTTCTACCACTTGAGCCACAGCACTACTTCTGGTTTTCTGGTGGTTAATTGGAGATGAGTCTCATGGGCTTTCCTTCCCAGTTTGGCTTTGAACTGTGATCCTCAGATCTGAGCCTCCCGAGTAGCTGGGATTACAGGTGTGAGCCATCGGCGCCTGGCAGAATATCTTCCTTTTAAACCAATTAATCTATATTTTTTCATCCAAAAGATTTCTGTGACTTGAGTCTCAAATATTTCTTGGGCATTATTAACTTTAACATTAAAGTTTATACAATTATTGAATAATTATTGACCTCCGTTTAAATCAACATGAACTCTGTTTAAAATACCTTTATATATGAAAGTTTAGTAGTATGCTGGTTATATAAATACAAAAATAATAATTGTTACTTTGTATTATCCTGATATATAATTGTTTATGATAGTGTTTCAGTAATACAGAAAACAGTAACATTCCTCACTGAACATTGTACAATAGGATTAGAGAAAATGCCAACTGAATAAAGCAACTGGAATTCAAAGTATATAACTTGAAAGTTAATACCTTTCTCGTTTTCTTATTAATCTTGCAGCTCTGCAAGGTTTGAAGGGTCCCTTAATATGGACCTTAATGAAATCAGCATGAATTTAGTTCCTTTTCCTCAACTTCATTATCTTACATCAAGCCTGACCCCTCTGTATACACTGGCAGATGTCAACATTCCTCCTCGCAGGTAAGATGTAAATGAATTCTAATCTCTGAAGAACGTGAAGTTCTATTTTAAAGCACAATTTTTAACGTTTACGTTATCTGGTCAGTAATCATTTTGTTTGTGAGAAATATATAAAATGTAATTGATAACTGCTGTGTGTGTGTGTGTGTGTGTGTGTGTGTGTGTGTGTGTGTGTGTGTGTGTGTGTGTGTTTGTGTACAAATGTATGATAGCATTAAACTTGGAGCAAGTGACTTTTCATCTTTAGTTTTTCTTACCTGTAAAAGTGGAAGTGTGCTTTTCACATGTGCTTTTTAAATAACAGTGAGTTTTCGTATGATAGCTATTGTTCACCTAAACACCTGGTTCTGCAGCTTGTGTGTGTCGTCTTTAAGCCACTTTCTTTAACCCAAAAACAAAATGGTTTTAAAAGATGCTCTTGGCATACACAGTGATGATTAGCTTATCATCATTTACATGCACAGTTGAAAATGGAAATCAGAAAAATAGAAAAATGAAAGCTAGAGATTTCTTTTTATAAAGCTTCAACAAGGTGATAGATGTATGCTTTAGGAATATTACAAGTGATACTCCTGCAAGCAAGGTAGGACACCTTTCCCCATTGGATCATAATGATCACTATAATGAAAAAGTATACACAATGTAGAATACGTTATTCACTGTATTCACTCAGCATGCTAGTATTTTTAAGAAGAGTGAGCACTTTTAACCTGAACCCTAATTGTACTTTGATGGTAAACTAATTACTGTAAATATATGTAAAATTTATTCTTTATGTGTGTGTATGTTCTGGTCCTGGAGATTGAACTCAGCCTGGTCACTGTCTCTGAGCTTTTATGCTCAAGGCTAGTGCTCTTCCACTTGAACCACAGTATTGCCATCTCTGTGATGGCTAATAGGAGATAAGCGTCTTAAGGACTTTCCTGCCCAGGCTGGCTTGGAACCACTATCCTTAGATCCACCTCCTGAGTAGCTAGGATCACAGGCATGAGCCATAAGCATCCAACAGTAAAGTTAGTTCTTAAGAAAACAGTAAAGTTATTTCTTAAGCCTGGAAGATTCCATTTCCACAAAAGAAAGATAAATGTGCCGGCACACACTTGTGATTCCAGCCATGACAGGAAGCTTGACATAGATAGAATGTGACTCAGGAACATGCCCAGTCAGGATGCTAGACCCTATCCTAAAATAATGGCCAGTGAAAACCAAGACCAGAAGTGTGGTTCATTGCTACCATGCCAGTCTCACAAGCACAAACCCTCCCCCCCCCCAAAAAAAAGAGAAATGAACAAATGGAATTTTTGTAATTAAGTTTAACATAAAGAAAAATATGTTCTGACTTGGTTCTCCTATTTAAATATTTAAAAGTCAGTTGAATATACTTTACTTGGTTTACTTTGATAAAGATAATACTTTTATGTCAACACGTGCGTGCGTGCATGCTAGTCCTGGGCACTATCCCTGACCGTTTTTGCTCAAGGCTAGCACTCTTACCACTTTAGCCACAGCTCTACTTTTGGCTGTTTTGATACTCAATTGGAGATTAAACAGACTTTCCTGCCCAGGCTGGCTTAAAACTGCCATCCTCAGATCTCAGCCCCTTGAGGAGCTAGAATTACAGGTGTGAGTCACCAGTTCCTGGCAGCACTTTTCTAGTCATAGAAATCTATGGTGAAGATTTGTTTTGAATTATAATGTATCACCAAAAGATTATAAAACTCATTACCTTACTTATGTCACTGAAACTCATCTGTACAACAGCAGATCTTTTTTTCTATTTCCTGTTCTAGGTTGGATCAGATGTTTTCAGATGCCTTCAGCAAAGATCACCAGCTAATTCGAGGAGACCCCAGACACAGTCTATACCTTGCCTGTGCCCTCATGGTTAGAGGAAATGTACAGATTTCAGATCTTCGTCGAAATATTGAAAGGTTCGTTTTCTATTTTTCAAGGTAATTTATGTCTACTTGGGACAATGGAGCATAGTAAGGAAGACAGCCTCTCTTCAAACATAATAATGCCACTTCCTAAAGTGTGACCTTGGGAAGGCTTCTCTGCGACTTGTTTCTTTCAAGTATAAATAGAAATAATAGTATAATGTTATTTATGACTATTACATGGTATGTAAGTGATTTTATTTTCTGAGCATATCCAAAAGGAATTCCCACCACTGCTGCACAGCTTCTACATTTATTTTTACTATTTGGCAGAATGTTTTTAGAAAACTGTTCTATAGAATTAAAAAGAGAAAATTATGCCTTTATTTCCTTTCATTACCAGATTTCCAACTTTAAGTAACATGTTTCTAGGTTTTTAAATCCCTCCATAACCAATTTAATGTCCTTGAGTTACTATTAAATGACATTGTTACTTATCACATTGTTACATAAAGCTAATGTAAAATAAATCATTTAGATTATAAACTTAGTTAATAATTAGACTGATGCCATCACTAGTATCCTTTAACTAATGTGGGGTACCATAATATGGTAGACATTTTTAGTGACTTAGTTCTTACCTTTAAGTTTCTATGTCTCAGATTAAAACCTGCCCTGCAGTTTGTCTCCTGGAATCAAGAAGGCTGGAAGACCAGCCTGTGTTCAGTACCTCCTGTGGGCCACTCGCATTCATTATTAGCTTTAGCAAATAACACATGCGTGAAACCTACCTTCATGGAGCTGAGAGACAGGTTCATGAGGCTGTACAAGAAAAAGGTAACCACACACTTTTATAACTGTCTTGGCTCAGGTATGTGGTAACACAAGTCAGGATTGGCCTTGTCTACCATGTATTGCTATACTGATAGTAACTGAAGAAAAGAGACTTCCACTGACTTTAAATGGGAAGTTGCCTGAGGATTTCGATAGAATATTTTACTCAAGTTCTCATTTCCCGTTTATAAAGTTCCTGAGGCAGTAAATGTTATCGATGGGGTTATTTTCAGGCTCATCTCCATCACTATCTCCAAGTCGAAGGGATGGAGGAAAGCTGTTTCTCAGAGGCTGTGTTGTCTTTGTCAGCACTCATACAGGAGTATAACCAACTGGACACTACACGGAACATGCCAGTGCAGGACGTACCACGGCTAAGCGTAGCTGTGTGACAAAGAGCCAAAAACATACTGCCCTTCCTGTTTCCTAATTTCACAGTTTCCCTCCCCTTCCTGCTGCTGCATGCTTGTGATTCAGAAAGCCCAGTTGGTTTTTATATTAGCAGGAAGCACTTTTGTCTTGAAGAGGACTTCCTGTTGGATCACAGCTTGTTGATAATACTTGCATGTGAAATGGGTGGAAGCCTACCATCTTCACCCCAAATTGTGTCCAGAATTCAGAGAACAGATTTCCTGATCAATATGCTATATTGATAACCTTGTATTTAGATTTTTATACACGAATAATCTTGTCTTTTATTTTTAAAAAGTTTACAATTATATTTTTATATTTATTTATAACTTATTTTGTGATTCCACTAACTTTTCAGGGTTTTTTTTCCCTTTGTACTCAAAAGAGTCATAATTTAGATATTGTGTATTTGTACTAAATTATTTTTAAATAGCTTTCTTGTCAAAATCACTTGATTTTGTAATAAACAGTTTTAAAAGATTTTAAGCAATGCCACTTGTTACTACTGTTTTGAATGCCATCATTTATATAAATGAACAGAACACTACTAATCTTAATACCCTCTTTCAACTTTATCATGAAATTGTTCCAGTTAATATTTAGATACATTAGGTTAATTTACCTTATAAGGGAATAAGTTTTAGGAAAAAATAATTTTAAGTTTCTTTCCTTTGCAAAATAATGATACTGTTCTTGGTCTTTATCTTGGAAATTTAGTTTATTATTTGTTATTAAAAAAAAGTCCAGATCATAGATGTCAAGAGTAATCAAGAAGTCCATTCTTTCCTTCCCAGAAGAAATCTTAACTGATATTCAGGATATATACCATAGATAGATAGATAGATAGATAGATAGATAGATAGATAGATAGATAGGAATATATATAGAAATATAATTATATTTCTAGTTTAATCATATTTCTTTTCAAGGACAATCTAGAATCTTACTTGCACCTATACTGATTATCATCTGGTAAGAGCCTTGTCTACATTTTTAAGTATAGATTAATTTTTTTAATTTGATATAACTTTATGTACTATCAACATAGTATTCCACATTATTGTATAAAATAAAGTTTTCCTATAAATATTATCATTTGTATATCTTATGTGGAATGCTTTAACGGTGCCAAATAATCTGCATATTACCTAATTACAAGGATATATTTTAGAAATAACTTTTAAGTTTTCTTCCGTAAATTTTTTGTATATACATGTGTGGGACTTGAACCTCGGGGTCTGGGTGCTGTCTCTGCTTTTTTGCTCAAGGCTAACACTACACCACTTGAGCCACAGCTCCTGTTCTTTGGTCATTAATTGGAGATAAAAGTCTCATGGACTTTCCTGCCTGGGCTGGCTTCAAACCGTGATCCTCAGATCTCAGACTATTACTTAGTAGCTAGGATTTACAGGTATGAGCCATCAGCACCCAGACACTTTTTCTATACATTTTGGTAGAACTTTTCTTAGAAATGTCTCATCCTTCAATATGGTGATATGAGAATGAATGGATATTCTTAGTATTTTTGACTCATAAAGATTTCTCACCCTTTTCTACCCATTCTGTTTTTTTTATTATAGATGACACAATTGACTAATGTTAACTTTATCCCATATTTTATAGAATCTTGAGTTCTGAAAACATATCTCCAGGTTCTCTGCAGTTTCTCTGACATACACAAGATATTATCCACAACATCTTCCACTTCATTGACCCTTCATTAGGGCAATCAAACTGAATGGTAATCATTGTAGACTTATTAGGGATGCAGCATCTCCTATCCAAGCACATTCCACAAAACGTGGGTTTGTAACTCTGAGTACTTGAACATCCAGAAAAGACAAATTTTTCAGCTTTGGCAAGCTGGAAAGTAGGTTGGCATGCTTTCCCTTTGGGAATCTGAAAAAAACAAAAAAAAAAACAGCCGTTCTTTAAATTTAATACAATAGATTATACAGAACATTTCCTAGCACAACATGCAGATTAAATCACGTCTGGAGCATTAATAATAGTTACTGTGTCATGACTTCCAGCATCCTCTTTTCTGCCTCTAAAATTTCTTCTCCCCGGAGGCTCTCTGTATTCTTGGTCTCATATTTCTTGCTATCTGTCCTTAAATCAGTTCCATACAAGTGGAATATTACCTAAGACTTAGCACATTCCCTAATAATTTAAACTGTTTTGTGGCTAAGTAGATGAATAACTATCTTAATCCCTTTAAAATTGGGTTGTCAACTTCTAATATGACAGGTAATACCTTGAGAATGAGTAATATTTTTGAAAATTAATCTTTGAGACAGTTGCTTGGCCTCTTTGAAGAATGGGGCCAGGTCTAGACCTAGCTCCCCAAGTCTCAGGGAAAATATTTTATAATGGTCCTTTGACAAGTTTACTGTTGAGCACATACCATTTGGAAAATGATGTGATTCAGTCCAAGTTGGTGATTTGTATCTAACACCAGAACTCCTTTGCTTTGACCATCTTTTTTTTTTCTTTTTCTTTTTCTTTTTCTTTTTTTTTTTGTCGGTCGTGGGGGCTGAACTCTGGGCCTGGGTACTGTCCCTCAGCTCTTCAGCTCAAGGCTACTGCCCTACCACTTGAGCCACAGCATCACTTCCAGCTTTTTTCTGCTTATGTGGTGCTGAGGAATAGAACCCAGTCCCTCATGCACGCGAGGCAAGCACTCTACCACTGAGCCACCTTCCCAGCCCATGCTTTGAACATTTTAATGGCTGTTTTCATAACTGTGGTAAGCAACGAAGATTTTGCATTCATTACTTTGATTCCACTAATACAGAAATATGGCTATAGAGGGTTAGAATCTGAAAAGGATCTACTCTGTAAAGAATAATATTCTTGGAGGTTTACCCCCAACAAATCATTTTATTAAGCTGGTAGACTATCTAGAATCAGCAGATTAACAATACTTTTAGTAGGTAAAGTTCTCTACACAATGTGCAGTTAGATGAGTATCTGTTTTCTTTCCAGATAATTGGACTAAGAGTTCCAGTGAAGAATCAAACACTCTTACTCCCTCCAAAACATATTTCATTTTATAATGCTGAATTAAAATTAAGTTAAATACACACTTTACCTCTACAGTCTTTGATACATTACTGCTGCATGGCTGAATGTAGCATAGTCTTTTCTCATTTCTCATTTCACAGTTACTGTTTTCGTTGGTCACCCTGTTAGATATGCCCATTCCACATGTTCTAGAGCATGGAGTCCACTTTGTTGCTTGCACAAGACATTTTCTTTTCCAAATAAGTGGGAGATTCCTGTAGGCTAAAATAAATGGGGAAAAGTGCTCATGTATACATACATACATAAGTATATACATATATAGAAGTAGTTTTTTAATCATTAAGCTAACATTTAAGAGATCTGGATAAAAGATTGTTTGTGGGGCTGGGGAGGTAGCTCAGTGGTAGAATGCTTGCCTTGCATGCATGAGGCCCTGGGTTCAATTCCTCAGCACCACATATGCAGAAAAAGCCGCAAGTGGCGCTGTAGCTCAAGTAGTAGAGCACTAGCCTTGAGCTGAAGAGCTGAGGGACAGCACCCAGGCTCAGAGTTCAGGCCCCACAGCCGGCAAAAAAAAAAAAAAAAAAAAGATTGTGAATAAACGAAGCTTGTGGTCATTCTGTTTTCCTGATTGTCTAAATTGCCTTTCAGTCAAATGTGGCAGTCTAGTTTTTTGTGGGGTTTTTTTTTTTTTGGGGGGGGGGGGGAGGCAGTTCTTTGTTTTGGAAAACAGTGAATTTGCTATTTGCATCATTCTGCTTTACCCAATCTGAGTCTTAAGTTTATGTTCTCATTGATGTCTTTGTTATATGTGGTCTGCTGCATGTTTGTTATTGCTAACAGTCTTTGAAATAAAATTAGGGAATTTGAGATATTAATCAGAATAGTTGAAGGAGGAGGGGTAATTTGTTTTTTCCTTTAGACAGGATTTCAATACCAACCCAGGCTGGTCTGGAACTCTCAATCTTCCTACCTCAGTGATTTGCATCTGTATATACTGTGTATACTGCCACACCAGGTAGAATAACATAGTCTTAATGCTAAATATAAGTGTGCTGGTACTGGGCTTGGAACTGAAGATTGGGTGCTGTTCCTTAGTGTGTTTTGTTTTGTTTTGTTTCCTCTCAAGGCTTGCGCTCTACTACTTGGCCACAGTTCCACTTCTGCCTTCTGGGTGGTTAATTGGAGATAAAGGTCTCACAGACTTACCTTGTGGTTCAAAGCCAGCCCTGGCAAGGAGACTTTCACTGAGAGACTTTCACCTGCTATTAACCACTCAAAAGCCAGAAATGGAGCTGTGGCCCAAATGGTAGAGTGGAGGAAAAAAAGGCAACAGCACCCAAGCCCTGATTTTAAGCCCCAGTACCAGCACCGGGGAACAAAAAAAAAAAGAATTTGACATCTTAATAGAAAATATGAAACACTCTGAAGTATGTGTTTGCTTTGAATTAAATTATAGCATGACTGTTCTTAGCATTAATACAGTAGGCCTTGCGGCTGCATGGAAAATTGCAAGAGAAAAAGCAGAACCACGAGGACACCTGGGAAGGTTTGAAGAGCTCTATGCGGGAATAAGATTGGAAGCCTGGTACATTAGACTGTCTCATTACTATTATCCCTGCTGACAAGTAACCGAAACCCCTACAGTTCAGGAATTTAGCATTTGTTAAAAAAAAAAAAAAAAAAGGCAAGAAAACTACAAGAGATTTGTGAAATAGGTGCTTAGATTTTCATGAGCACTGAGAAAAGCTTGATAGCTGTATTTTACCACATGCTTCATACTGACCCAGCAAAAGCCAGATTCCAGCCGCAGTTGTAATCACATATATCTTAAAGTATGGTTTGTGGTAGAAGCTAATTGTGAAAGCCAAATTCCTTGTGGGTGATAAATACAACTTCATAGTTGAGCAGAGAAGGGACAGGTTGAACATACACTCTTTTTGGAACATATCGAGGCCTAAATCACATACCAGAGAGTACTTTGTGACATTTTCCGATTGTTCGTAGCGAGCACTGACTGCCAAAAATGACCATATGAGACCTCTCCAAACCAAGCTCCAAGTAAATCCACTGAAACCATTGAGCTGCACAGAAGAAACCAACTTGAACATGACCCAAAGGGAGAAGTACTGTGCTAAGGTAATTTCCTCCAGGGAGACTCGCATCTGGTTTGTAACAAGAGCCTTATTTTGAATCAGATCTCATGCAGAAAAAGCTGGGCACTGAATATAGCAAATATCAATGACAGAGTAGTACATACTTGACATGTGCAAAGCCTGGGGTTCAACTCCCAGCACCAAAATAATAAATTAACTATTTGCCTTATTTTAAGACTTTGTTGTTTTGCCAGTCCTGGGGCTTGCACTGTGAGCCTGTCCCTGAACTCCTTTTTCTCAAGGCAAGCACTCTGCCACTTGAGTCACAGTGCCACTTCTGGCTTTTTCTGTGACTAATTGGAGAAAAGGGTCTTGTGAACTTTCCTGCCCAGGATGACTTCAAACCACAATCCTGATATCTCAGCCTTCTGAGTAGCTAGGATTACAGGTATGAGCCACCAGCACATGGCTATTTTAAAGATTTTAAAGCATATGTAGTGTTGTATCATTGGCTACCTAATTATGTGTGGACAAATTCACCCAACCTAGTGAATATTTTTCAAATTAACTGACAGAGTCCCTGCTGATCTTCTTTTCATGATTAGTTTCTATATTTGCTTCTATTAATAAAGATGAGCTTTAAGGAGCTCTTAACATTCACAAATTTTCTACACCAACATGATACCTATCACTAAGCTCTAAAAAGAAATTCTTAGCTGGGCGCTGGTGGCTCACGCCTGTAATCCTAGCTACTCAGGAGGCTGAGATCTGAGGATCGCGGTTCAAAGCCAGCCCGGGCAGGAGAGACCATGACACTCCTATCTCCAATAAACCACCAGAAAACAGGAAGTGGCGCTGTAGCTCAAGTGGTAGAGTGCCCGCCTTGAGCTGAAGAGCTGAGGGACAGCGCCCAGGCCCAGAGTTCAAGCCCCACGACCGACAAAAAAATAAATAAATAAAAAATAAAAGAAATTCTTGATTTCTAGACGAGAAAGAGAGGTAAACAACCTGGCAACAATATTGCCCTGATGTGTGTTCTTCTCTTGGGCTTCATTTGCCTCAGTGGTAGATCCTTTTGTGCTATTTACTGTAGCACTTACATGAGATGTAAACTTAAACCAGTCCAGAGTGCCATTTGTATCATAAGTAGCCAGGTCTCAAAATAAGTAATATATCATTTCACTTCTTGCAGCATATATAAGTAACCTACTTTTAAAAGCCTATGTGTAGTGTCTGAACCACATGTATTTAGAGTCAGATTGGTAACCGTTGTTAGTTCTCAAATTGTTTTTAGTTCTATTCCTACTTGTTTGTTATATTTTTATTTAATTGTTTGTATATATTCTTATTTGATTTCAAATTTACTTTTTTTTTTGGCCAGTCTAGGGGCTTGAACTCAGGGCCTGTGCACTGTCCCTGAGCTTCTTTTGCTCAAGGTTAGCACTCTACCACTTGGGCCACAGAGCCACTTTGGGCTTTTTTTTTTTTTTCTGTTTATGTGGTACTGAGGAATCAAACCCAGGGCTTCATGTATGCTAAGCAAGCATTCTACCTCTAAGCCACATTTCCAGCCTAAATTTACTTTTTAAACCAGTAGCTCTCCGCTTGTGTTTATATAGAAAAGTTAACTGTGACAATTTTAGGACCTGGGTGATCAAAGCTTTTGCCCATAATAAAATGATATTAAAGTTTTCTTCCAAGGTATATATGAACAATCTTTGATCAACTTTCTTAAAAATAGGTTGAGAAGAAGCCAAAATGTACTACTTTTTCTGACCTAATAGAGCTTTGAAACACAGGAATGTTTTCCTGACAAAACCTAGAAAAGAAAGTTTTCTTTTCAGACCCTTAAAATGTAGCTGCCTGAAGCATAATGCTCAATAGGATAATACTAAATATTGCTCTGACCTCCAGTCCAAACACTCATGCTCAGTCCCTGTAGTGCACCAAAGGAACACAAGAAAACCACATAAGTCATACGTGCAAAACAGCTCTACGTGTGAGCACCTGGCATTGTTTTGTGGCTTTCTGGGAGCTGCCGTTGTGATGATCCCAGAACACAGTTTGACGTCTTTCCAATTTTGGCTCCGGAGCAGCGGCTGCCAGCCAGCTTGGGTATGAACAGAGGCATGCATCCAATGGCTCCACTCACACACAGGCAGCTAAACAGAGGGTTGGGCTGAAACACTTGGCCATTCTGATAATGAACTCTGTTGATCTCACATCCAACAGCTACCAGGTCTAAAATGGGAGAAAAGCAGCATTGCTTTAAAAAGAAAAATAGAATAACTTTCAGTGATACACCAGAAGAAAGCTATCTCTTCTATGAAGAATAGGTCTCAGTTTCTTAGGACACTTTAGAACTGCCTTCACAGAACTTCTCCAGAAATCAGCCAGGCACCAGTGGCTCATACCTATTGTCCAAAGAACTACGAGGGAGGAGAGGAGGATAATGGTTCAACTTCAATCTGGGCAAAAAGTAAGATGTCATCTCAATAAGAGCCTCCTACCCCCAACTACATGACACAATTTTTATTTTATTTATGTATTCATTTTTGTCTGTTGTGGGGCTTGAATTCTGGGACTCGGCACTGTCCCTCAGCTCTTCAGTTCAAGGTGAGCACTCTACCACTTGAGCCACAGCACCACTTCCCGTTTCCTGGTGGTTTATTGGAGATAAGAGTCTCAGACTTTCCTGTTCTGGTTCGCTTTGAACCGTGATCCTCAGATCTCAGCCTCCTGAGTAGCTAGGATTACAGGCATGAGCCACCAGCGTCTGGCCACAATTTTTAATGATAGAAAAAGGCTGAATTCAGGTTGTGGGCAGTATTAATAAAAGCTGTCATTTATGGTATTTTAAGAAGTCAACTCTATTGACATAACTTCTATTTTTCTATCACTTAAAAGCAATTACCTGAGAATTGCAAAATCCACTTCCATGTAAAGGAAATAATAGGCTCCTGAACATATGTATCTGCTCACTTCATGTGAAGCCAGTTCACTGGTGCACAAAAATTAGTCCACCTTGAATTGAGCCAAACTAAGTTAATCAAAGTTAACAATTCAAGAGTTGGGGGGGTGGGGGTTTGTGGGGGGCAGGGATGTCTGTCTAGACTCCGCCTTTGCCAAAGGTCCAGAAGCAAACAGACACTTACATGCACACACGCCGGTCTCAAACCGAGGCCTGTCTGCTGAGTAGTCACAGTACAACCCTTTATGTGGGTCACAGAGGTCAGCTTCATTGCAGAGGTCCCCTGGTTGCTTGGCACAGATTTTGCAGCATCCACAGCCATCCCTCACCAAGCTCACTCCAGGAGGGCAACTTGGCTTCTGTTGGGGGCATTTGCAGGGCCAGTGACAAACTTGTTTACGCTGATGCACTTCTGGAGTGTCTCTTGGTCCTCTAGGGGTCGTGTCTGGCAGCCCAGTGTCCTGTGCCCTGCAGCAGAACTTCATTTGGTAATAGAGGCAGTGTTACAAGTAGTTCTTCGGACTCATCATGGATCTTGGAGGAATAGATTTCCTCCAAAGAGGTAGATACATCTGGCTTCTAATATCTGTCAGCTTTTGACATGGCCATTCTGTCTTTCAGCGTTCTTCACACAGCTTCCAGCACATGGCTTTTTCTTACTCTTCCTTCCTCATCCCACCTTCTCAGTCTCCTTTGCTACTTTCTTCTCATCTTCCTGAGCCTAAACCTTGGAACCCCTTGGTTAAGACCTCAGCGTATCTCCGGCCTCCCATTGACTTCTCTTCTGACCTCAGACCCAGATGGCCTTAAGACCTCCACCTTAAACCAGGTATAGCGGCTCATGTCTAGAATCCTAACTACTCAGGAGGCTGAGGAGTTCAGGCCAGTTTGGAGCAACAGTACAACAGTACAAACATCTCAAAGTAATTATAGCAACTCTACTAGACAAAGCAAATTTAACATGACCAAGAGCAAACTTACAAATTTCCCCTCCAATCTATAGTTTTCCATACCCTTCCCAGTTTGAGCAAATGCCTGTTTCCTTTTTCTCTTGGAGTTAAATCATGATTGACACTTTCACATTTTATACGCAATTTTGTCCATAAATGTTGCTGGTCACACCTTTCAAATATACCCCCCTGGACCTCAATATCTCCCCTTCTACCATTGTGACCCAATTCACCCTTCTTTCTCACATGGATCATTACAGATTATTTTTAACCTGTTCTTAGGTCACACAGCAAGCAAGGTAGGAGAAGGGAGCTAAATCAAGCAGGTTCCAGAACCTAAGTGCATAGCCCTGCCCCTCCTTCCCCACTGCAGAGCCCACTGCAAGCCAGCTTTGATGCTGAGCAAACAGCTGAACATCTAACATGCATTCTGAATCCTGCAGGCTCTGTGAGCCTGCACTGACTTCCATGTAGATTTCATAATTAGTTGCTCATCTCTGCATGCTCTTTACAATCTCATCTGTCCTCTTGTCTTCAGCTTGTCCCTGTGCAACCCAGGCTGCAATCTAGAGTTCTTCACTGTAGACAAACTCATGTAAATGATTGCCTACTGGGCCAGCCCTGGGGGGGCGTGGAATTCAGGCTCAAACCTCAGAATCTTTCGTCCCAGACAGCATCTCCAAAGTTTGGAATCCAAAAGCTATCAATCACCTCAATCGTGACTAGCCTTGCTTATCCTATATTCTAGTATTGTCACTCTAGTCTAGTCTAGTCCTAGATCCCACTAAGTGGGACTGTGATAAGGTCCATGGGTCTTCCCCACTGAAGAATGAGAGGGACTCCCCCTGCGCCTCTCTTGCCTCACATCGCTGCTAGAGGGATGGATCTCTTTAAAGAGCTTATCAGCAACCCTCAGTCGCTGCTTCATCTCCAGTGAGCAGTCCAAACTTCTGAGCATGGTACCTAAAGTCTGCCTGTTCTTGTCCATCTGCGAAACTCCCTTTCTATGCCTTGTTACTTAGTTTCTTCTCCCTCCTCCTCCTGACTGTTGCTCCTTGGTGTACTAAGGTTTGCACTCAAGGCCTTGCACTTGCCAGGCTCTACCACCAAGCCATGCCTCCAGCCCCTTTCTGTGCTGGTTATTTTTGAGACACGGGCTCTTAACTGTCTTAAGTAAAACAGCTTGTTTTGTTTTGCTTTGGTTGCTTTCTTTGATCTGATTTGGTGCCAGTATTGAGGCTTAAACTCAGAGCCTCGCATTCTTGCTTTTTTTTTTTTTTTCTGCTCTACTCCTTGAGCCACACTTCCACTTCTATAACAGCTTTGTATGCTTGTGGAATGTTTTTTTCTGTACATATCTCTCTATGTTAATACACTTGATATTTAAGAATCTATAGCAAGTTGGGCATCTGTAATCCTAGCTATTCCAGAGACTGAAATCTGAGGATCAGTCAGACGCCAGCCAGGCAGGAGAGTCCATGAGACTCTTATCTCCAATGAACTTCAAAAAGTCAGAAGTCAAGGAGTGGAGTGCTAGCTTAGAGCACAAAAGCTCAGGGACAGTACGCAGGTCCTGAGTTCAAGCCACAGACCCAGCACCATAAAAAGAAAGGAAGGAAGTGAAGGAAGGTAGGAAGGAAGGATGGAAGGAAGGAAGAAAGGAAGGAAGGAAGAAAAAAAGAAAGAAAAGGAAGGAAGGAAGGAAGGAAAGAAAGAAAGAAAAAGAAAGAAAGAAAGGGAGAAAGGAAAAGACAAAGAATCTGTAGCAGCTCAGTCCCCAGTAATGACCAGCCTTTTTTCAGAATATGGAATAGGAGACATCCTGCCTCATGGCTGCTAGGGAAGCACATCCCCACGATATCAGCAGGAAGGACCTGAATCACTGCACTCCGGGCATGACCCCTTAGAAATCATCTATTTACTCTCTGTCGAGAGTAAAATTTTCAAATCCTTGGTTTCTGTGATGCATCCACTGCTCACTGACTGATGCAACCATAACTCACAGACACTCCATGTTTTCTAAGTCAACAGATTTCAGCAGTTCTGTCTCCTGTGCCAGCAAGCACCTCCACCGTGTAAATAAATCAGGGAACGACTCACCCTGGTTAAATTTTCTTATTAAAAAAAAGAAAATATGAAGGCAATAAATTGCTGATATTCAACTCCTTTTGGTCTGTCATTTGCAACATCTCAGTCTCCATGGACAGATCTTGTGCCCTCCATGGGAGACACGGGGATTGTGCCAAGACAGAAACAACAGAAAGTTGGAGAACTGCAGAGATTCATTCCAAAGGCCTCCTTGCCAACAAGAACAGGCTGAAAATCATCTCTCCCCTAATCCACATGCAGGGGCTCTCTGCAAATGACTGGCAGGCAGAGCCCCCGGCTGGTATCCACAGGAAGGGACAGTGTTTTGAATCCACAGTGGCAGCCAGTACTGCCTGGCCCCAGAGAGGCGGTGTGTGTTACAAACCGCTAAGATCTATAAATATAGGAAAGTCTGCGGCTGTTCAAATACAGCCACAGTTTACCTGCAAGAGAGAAGGGTCTCATGTGTGTCTCACGAAGCTGTGAACTCAACTTTATTTGGAGAGGAAAATGGCTTCCTGCTTCTCCTGAAATACTTTTTCACCAGTCATTTTCCCCCCACCTTCTTTTCCTTTTTTTTTTTTTTTTTAAATTTTGGTCCAAAGAATGAAGACCAGCCAAAGTCTCTGGAAAGAAACAAGAAAGACTTACCAGTGCTAGCCCGGTAAGGAGAAGGATGAGGATGAGGAGCTGCTGCATACCGCCGCCCGGAGGTGGGTGTGGAGGGCTGGCGAGGTGGCAGCTCCTCTTTGCTCGAGGCACACAAAGCCCCCCCTGTCTTCTCTGTACACGAGCTGTGTCTCCACCTCCCAGCTGGGCTACTGCTTCACAGGCTGTGCGTTCCGTGCCTAAGAATCCGTTTCTGTACCTGTTTGCTTTCGTGCGATTCTTCCAGAACAAGCTTCGCAGTTAGTGTGAAGGGGTTGGTGAGGGCTGGTGAAGGGGGTGGGAAGAAGTTAGGAATCTCCTCCTGGGAGGTCAGGGCCTACCCTTGGGCACAATGGTAGCATTAGGTACCTCTCCCTCGCTTGTCCTCGGCCTCTGTCTGGGATTTCCTTGCTCTACATTTTCCTTGTGATGCTTTCTTTCCCTCTTAGAACCTTAAGCTCACTGCTGACCCGATCTTTTCCCCTTCTGGTCCTATCCAGGGTGATCCTGGGGCTCTCAAGCCTTCACTGACCCCCCAAAGTGCCTTCTGTTCTAACATAGTTCTCAAACCTGATGGACTGTGTTTAGATAAATGTCTAGATGGACAGAGTGTACTCCTATTGTCCCTGGAGAAGCCCTTTCTGTAGTCACAATTCCATTACAGATGACAGGATAGGGAACCCCGATTTTTCTCCACCTAAGCTCAAATACTTGTAAATTATTAGGGAAACTAGGAAACAGTATCTTGGGTTTTTGTGGGTTTTTGTTTTGTTTCTTTGTACCAATCCTGGGACTTGAACTCGGAGCCTGGGCACTATTCTTCAGCTTCTTTTGCTCAAGGCTAGTACTCTGCCATTTGAGTCACAGCTCCACTTCTGATTTATTGGTAGTTTATTCAAGATGACAATCTCACAGACTTTCCTACCTGGGCTGGCCTAGAACCACAGTCCTCAGATCTCAGCCTTCTGAGTGGTTAGAATTACCGGCATAAACCACTGGGGCCTGGAAATTTTTGTGTTTTTTATGTGTCACTTTAATTTTTTTAAAACATCTAAAACCAAACTTACTAATGTGTACCCTGTTTCCTCCTTCTCAGCCCTCTTACGTAAGTGGCACCAGTCCATATCCTATATTGGTCCCATGTGACCTTGGCTTGTGTTAGTTACTCTTTGGTGTACAGATTTGTCTTCCTGTGGGCCCAGCAGGAAGTCTACCTTCCCTTGCCTTCCTACGGCCTATTCCTATTCCCCGTGGCCTTTTCCCTAACCTACCGACCAGCTGTTTATGTTCCTATGCCCTACTCCCTGATCACTTCTTTGAGCCTAGCTACACAAGACACAGGAGTGAAGCCTCACTAAGGCCCGAGACCATGGTCTTCCACCAAACACCGAGAATCTGGTGTCCTTGGAGAACTAGAGTCACCATAAGCATGCAAGCAACCCATAGGCCATTGCCAAGTATTGAGTTAAATTATAATGATATGTACATTGAGCAACGGGTGGGGTGGGGAAGCCAGCAGTAATACTGTTGATCAAAACCTGAAGACAGAGAAGGAAGGTGTCCTTCTGTCTTCTCAGTTTAGGCCTAGTTGGTCTTTGGTTTCCCAGCCACAGTGATTCCTGTCTCACCCTGGCTATTGGACTGGGAAAATTCTTGTTTCCTGGCTCGCCCATCAAAGGCGGAGGAGGTGCCGTGTGCTCCCCATCCTGTGTGCAATGCTGCTCAGAGCAGGGCAACGATGGGACTGAGGAGACTCCTGCTCCTTCCATTTGCTCCTCAGGAAAAGCTGAAGCAGCCATTTTTCTTTTTCTTCGGTCCCTCTGCGTTATCCCTTCTGTGGAGCAGGGAAGATGTCACGGTGGCCATTCTTGCCTCTTGGTAAGAAAGGAACATATTGCCCGAGAATTCAAATAGCAAAACTTCCCCGGATCCATCCACTCTGAGCCGACAGTCATTCATGTTTAGACATCTCCAGCCACGGCATTATGATTTCCCTCCTCTTGACATGAGAGGGTCAGTGAAAAGGGCAATGTGTGAGGTCAGGGCTACTGTCGACTTTTTTTTTTTTTTTTTTTTAAGCACTTTCCATTATCATCCAATGGAAATTCCTGTCTAGGAGCTCATTTCTCAAGCATTCAGCTTATGAGGTACATTCAAGCAGACATGGCGGTAGGCATAACTATTATTTTCATCGCATTTTATGATTTACAAGGAGGTTGCCCATGTATTATCGTTTCTAATTTCACAGCTCAGTGAGGTAGGCAAAAGCAGTATTACCATCCTCATTTAACAGATTAAAAAGTTGAAGCTAAGTCATTGTACTTGGTCAATAAAACACACTTAATCCCTGCCCTGCAGAGGTATGTAATCTGCTGGGAGAGCAGACCCTGAAGACATAAACACACCAAATATCCATCATTAAAAACTGAATAAAGACTAATCAAAGAGCGCAACCCTCATAAGAGAGAATGACAGATGGGAGCAAAGTTAGACTGGAGGCAGAGAGGACACTTCTGAGAAGTGAAGAGTTGAGAGCTGAAGACTGAGGAGAGGGCTCCTAGTCCAGTGCACATCTTTCATGGAAAGAGGCACATCTCTAATAATGTGCATACAAGTATTCTATCACTGTGTCCTGTTTGCTCTTGCTTTTTACTATACTCCTCATCTTTCTCCCATGTGTTCTTGTTAAGTGAATCCTACTCATTTACCAAGCAAGATCTCCACACAATTGGAATCATGAGAGTAGGTTGGTTCTCTTTTTCCTCTAACCTGTACTCAGCCTTGTTAACCAACACCTGTGCATTCCCTGAGAGCCTCGCTTGTTGCCAACACCCTCCTCCACCGGGAAGGCAGGGTGCAAGAGTTACTAAGTTCTGTTTGGCTTTTCGTGAACAAGGTCCAAAAACGAGAAATCTCTGACAACCACCAAATGCCCTGCCCTACCATCTGTGTGGATCTTGGATCAGATTCTCTTGAAAAGAAGCAGGTGCCCTCATTCCAAGGGCATAAAAAAAAAAGTTAGGCTGTGGCCCAAGAAAAACAAGGCCAAATACTTAAGACAGATATAATTCGCTTTGTCACTTGGTCCTGTTCATCTGGTTTGCAGAGAGTTCCTCATAGAAAAGAGGTCTGAGTTAATTAGATGCAGGCACTGAGGAGGGCCAGATGAAAAGGAGGAAGGGAGAGAGGAGGAAAGGAGGACAAAGTATTCTCAGTATTTCCAAGTGTGGGTGGAGCTAGTGTTCCAGTGAAGGGAAAGCACACATAATGTGGCGTGCTATTCCTGATTTCTAAAATAGTTGCACATGTGCACCGTAATCCACTTAGGTGGACCAGGCCCCCAGGCTTGCTGGGTTTGCAATCAGAAGACCCAATTCCCATCCAAGTCCCGGCCACTTTTATGAGGTCTCTGGCCTCCCACAGCCTGCTCTAGGTCTGTCTGCCTTCAGACTTGTTAATTCCTGCAATCCATCCCCAATGCTGTTATCTGATTTGTCTGTTTTTAAACTTGCATTTGGTCATGTTACTCTCCTACACAAAACCTCTTATTCACTCCTTCTTGTGTATGAGAGAAAACCCAGCTGGTAAGAGGCTAGCTTTTTTTTGTTGTTATTTTTTTCCCCTAATGGGACTGGATCACATAAAAGTAGAGACAGGATCTCAAGGGGGCATCACTTTGTGCCCTCCCCCGCTTCTTCTCCCCCCACTGCCCAGGCTCCCAGTTCAGCTGAGCAAAATAGGGAGCTCCCAGCCTTTGTCATGCTGTTCTCCCAAGAGAACCCCCTAGTGAGAAGATCCCATAAATGGTTTCTCCAAATCCCCTCAAGCAAGCCTGGCTCTGCCACCAACCCTTTCAAAAACCTGTGGGAGGGTTGCCAGGCTTGGCTAAGAAAAATCTGGTTATGATAGGATGTCCAGTTAAGTGTTTAGTGCCTATAGGAAGCACTTATATTTTTCTTTTTAAAAAATCTCCATTGTGAACTTGAAATTTAACTGGGCATCTATGATATGATTTTTTGTTTTGATTGGGACTAGGTCCTGTGGAAGTAAAGGCTAAGACTTCATAGCTTGATACAAAAGGACCGGCACAGCGCTTGATAAATCTGTATTCGTTGTACGCGACCGGCACTCGGTGTTCCTTGCCTTAAAATTAATCTGAAAGGCAAAAAAAAAAAAAAATACAGAAAACAAAAACCGCTCCATTTATTTTTTTCCTTTGTCTTTTCAAGCGAAATGGAAGGCTTTGTGCTACCCAGGCAGTTTCCGGATCTTCCAGTTGCAGCCTGCAGGGGACGCCGATGGACGCTAGATGGCGCAGCGGGGCAAGGTTGCGCCTCGGGGTTCCGGCTTTGCCGCAGCGCCCCTGCATTATTGATTGAGATGCTGCCGCAGAGAAGGGAGGAGCCGGCCGCCATCTCGGCCAGTCTCCTGCGGTATCCGCTCGTTCCGGGGGGGAGAGGCTTGTCCCTCCCTGGTGAAGCGGGGGAGTTGTTTCATTCGTGGGAAGAGCAGCCCTTTCCATCCTTAGAACCTCTTTGTTTTCTCATGGCATCAAAGGACAGCAGCTGGACCCTTTGCCTTTCACCACCTGCATCTATTTGGATCAATCAATTTGCACCTCAGTTCACACGCGCCGATCCCCGCGTCCCTCCAGCTTCGTAACCGGGCGGCCCGAGGGTGGGGTCCCCCACGTGATCCCCGCCTGGCACCTCGCGATTCCGACCAGCAGGGGGCGGCCTTCCAGCAAGGCCGGCCAGGGAATCTCACAAACAATACCTTCCAATAGGCCACACCGAGACCCAAAACGTGTGTGTAGCCCGCGGTGTTTTCCTGGGGTGAGTGCCCTGTTAGTACAGCTTTGTTGATGAGAATGCTGCATTGTCCCCTTTCTACACCAGCCTGAGTGTGGTGCTCCCCCCTTTGGATTTCTTCAGCAAAGTAAGCCTTTTAAGCCACTGCCAAACCTCCTGCCTCACCAATCATAAACATTCTGTATGTATACCCTTCAAATGACTTCTCTTCACTGAATCTTTTTAAAGCATGATGCTATTTTCACTGGAAATGTCCTCTCTTTCTCTGTGCACTTGTGGAGTACTGGCTCTTAACGTTTTTTTTCCCTCGTTTGTGCAGTTCATTGGAGTTTTAATTAAATGGAGTGAACAGCTCAGGAAAGAAGCAAGCAGCACACTGTGGACATGTAAAAGAGAGCCTCTGTCCTAGCAGCCCAAAGCTCTGGGCATCCACAACTATGAGTGTTTCAGAAAAGACGTGGAGAATCAATCTAGCCTGTCAGTTACTTTACAGATAGCTTGTACTTGGATTTAGAGGGGGGAAAAATTAATAAGAGATCCATTTTATTTTATTTTTTACAAGGGGGATTTCATTATTACCTTTCCACACATTTACAACATGTTCCAAACAATTGCACTCCTTCTGTTAGCCTCCTTTCCCCTCTTCTTCCATTCTCCAAATAATTTCAACTGGTCTTATTGCTCTGTTTTTTATAGTTGTATACAATCTATGTCGACCATATTCATCTAAGACTAATCATTTTTAAGGGACTAATAAAAATTGCAATTCTAGCTTGTTGCCAAATCCACATGTAATATAATTAAATCAAGTGCTGAGTCAAAATGGTTTCCTAACAGAGGCTTTGGCAGAACCAGACAGGGCTTACTGGCTTACTCTTACACTCAGTGGGACTGTCTATTGATGAGGCTCCTCTACAAAAAGACACCCCCATCCCACTCCAAGAATACGCATGCCAAAAGTTCAGAGTTTGAAAAGCTAGAGAGCCATCAGTGTCCCAGGCAAGTCACACGGACACTGCCCTTAGCTGGCCTCAGATTTTATGTCACCACTTTGTATATTCAACTGCAGCCACCAAGATGTTTAGCTCTTAAGCTCAGGTACACAGAAAATGTGATCTATTTTTAGAATCCTTTGAATCAAGCTCCATGTGACCAACGGCATCCTTCCTTTGAACTGGTAGGCTACTAGATCATGGTTATTTCTGCAGGACTCCTGGTTTAGGTCAGGGGTCCGGGCTACAGCCCCCATGGCCACATTGCCTTAGCTTCTCTGGTCCTCTTTAGGCCAGAAGACTGGGCCCATACTATACCTGTTTTAGGCATAAGAATATTTGGGGTGCTGGAATTTTCCACTGTTGACCACAATCTCTCTGATGAAGGTCACCTGTGGGGAGGTCTTGCTACCTCCCTTCACACTGCAAGGAGAGGTGAGCCGTTGTCACATTCACAAGAACTCTCACTAGTCTTGTGGGTTAGGGGAAGAAAGATCTCTTCCTCATCACCTAGCCACTTAGAAAATGTGACTTTTCCCTTCTCACTCTCCAACAGAATCTACTATAATGTGACAGCTGTGGTCCTTTCAGACTGGATCATGACCCACTTTCCTTCCCAACAGATCCAAGAGGCTGCAGAAACCAAATTTGTGGGTTGGCACTGCAGGGAAACAACTTCTGTTCATGGGGACAGAATCATCTTAAATATTTAAAGCAGCTTCTATCAAGAATATTCTGTCTTTTCTCAACAGTTATGAACAGAGAAGAAACAGGAAATGACCCCACCATGAAGACCATGAGAACATGGTTTGGGGAATCTTAAAGCACTTCTGTATCTAATCATTTTGTCCTGCTAATAGCATTTCCAGTCGGTATATTCCTTCAGTACCACTTCTCATTAAGCAAGTACATAAAATATTTTTTGTATCAGCAATACATGTCCTCTAGCCCAAGAAATTTCTATTATAGTTGTATAGCTTTTATAGGCTAACCAAG